CTACCAGTCCAGTCAGTGTGGTCTTTTTTTTAAGAATTTGTATTTTGTTCTACAATTTTCTCCCACTCTATTTGGGACCATCTATTGGAGTCTTGGTGACACAGTGGTTAAGAGCTACAGCTGCTAACTAAAAGATCAGCAGTTCACATCCACCAGCCTCTGCTTGGAAAACCCTATAGGGCAGTTCGTCGCTATGAGTCGTAATTGACTCAGTGGCAACAGGTTTGGTTTTTTGGTATTGTATCCCTGGTCAGAAGGGTCGGTAGTGGTAGCTGGGTACCATCTAGTTCTTCTGGTCTCAGGATAGATGAGGCCGTGGCTTGTGTAGGCAATTCTGCAGACTAGTTTCTTCTTTGAGTCTTTGGTTTCCTCCTTTCTTTTTTGCTCCGGATGAACAGAGACCAATAGTTGTATCTTAAATGGCCGCTCTGCAGTCATACAGTTTTGACAAGAAGCCCTCTGACTTCTTGTCCATGTCTGTAGTCTTAAATCCAAGTTTTATTCTCTTTCTGAGTATGGCCTCGATTGTGAGCTCCTCAAGTACAGCATCTGTCAGTTTACCCTTTTCCACAATAAATATAAATAGAACCTCCAATCTTTATATCTTTCACTTTAATCACACTTGCCTTCTTGAGTTCTTCAAAAATACCAGTTTGTTTACCATTCCTCACCACTTATTAGTCCCCTTCTTCCTCGTTAATATTTTCTTTCCTACTCTGCGTGTACCCATGAGCAGTTACTTGGTCACTCACAAAATCTTTATCTCCCTCGCTATGTTGTTATTGTTAGCTGCCCTTGAGTTGGCCCCTGACTCATGGTGACCCCATGCACACTGGAATGAAATGATGCCCGGTCCTGTGCCATCCCATAGTAGGTTGCTGATCAAACCATTGTGATTCGTTGGCTGATTTTGGAGGTAGATCGCCAAGCATTTCTTCCTAGTCTGTTTTAGTTTGTAAGCCCCACTGAAACCTGTTCAGCATCATAGTAACATACAAGCCATCACTGGCAAGTGGTGGCGGCGCATGAGTTGCATTGTTCAGGAATCAAACCCAGGTATCCTTCATGAAAGGCGAGAATTTTTCCATGGAACCATCAATGGCTTCCCCGTGCTTATACCTGTCCAATAAACTCATTCTGAATCAGCACAGTTCCGTCCTCCATTCCAGTACCTGGGGGCCTGAGCTCAGGTGGAGAAGTGGAGGAAAAAGTGGTTTCCATTCTCAGACAAGGCCATGTGGCCAAGTGATTAAGGCTTTAGGACTCAGATGCTTTTGTTCTAATCTGGGCTCTGCAGTTCACTAGTTTTGTGACCCTGGGCCATGTTCACCTCTTTAAGACTCACTTTTTCGTCTTTTGTGCAGTTGTGAGAATTAAATAATTTAGTGCCTGTCGGGTGCCTAAGCCACCAGAGAAAGCACTCTTTAAATGTTAGTTGCTTTAATCATTTGGTTTTCAGCATAGTTTCACTTGGTTCTTAGTTTTATCCTGTTCTAGTTAGCAGCAGTTCCAAAAGTGCCTCCTTGTAGAATCGACACCTTAAAGTGATATACTTACATATCTTCTGATTATATTTATAATGCATCTTCATATATGCAGTCTTATAAATGATTGATTGAAATCATCAGTGGGGTATCTTTTGTTTTTTAATAAGCTTACTTTCAAGTTTGTTGGCATTGAGTCCTTTGCTAGTAGAGTGGAAATATTTAGTCCCCAGTACTTATAAATGAGAGTGATTTATATTGTAGAGAGAAAGAATGTAAAGTATACTTTGTAGATAATTTGTGAATAGGCTGTAACAGCAAAATTTCCAAACTTTATAACTGCTATATATGAAATTGTGTATTTTTACTTCACCTTATTACAATTGAATTATATAGTAGCAGAATTGAAGTCTGCCACTATGAAGGAAAATACGAGTTTTAAGTGTTTTTAATGTTTATAAATATTAGTCTTTTCCCCAACCTAAGTTCAAGGCTGCACAGACTCAGTTTCTCTACCATATTTGGGAGAACCATCACAGCATGATTATTTATATCTAAATTAAAGTTGTGGCTAACACAAGGATATTAAGCCTTTTTTGCTACTTGGGTGGGTTGACTAGTAGCTACAGAGTACCTTAATTGACACATGCCATTTCTGAACAATTAAAATGTACACGGACAGAGGAATAATATAATTTGTTTTAGAGATGTTGTAAAACGTTTTACAGAATCTATTGAGATTGCCACACCATTTAGAATACAAACACCTTCCAAAAATTTTGTATTTGCCTTGCTTTTCAGACCTGTGTAGATACTCCATGTAATTGTGGAGCTTGCACACCATTGCTAGTTTAGGAGAATTGAAGACATGGCTAACCTTTCTCTGCTGTGGAAGGAGAAGAAGATTGAGATGACAGTCCTTTGTACATAAGGAGTCATTCTAGCTTTCTATTTGTTTTTTGGGAGCATTGAGAGAGTTCAAAGGATTTTGAGTATGATTATACAGGCTCCTGTTCTAAAACTTCTAATTTATCAGCCTGGATTGCTTTCCATACAGTTGTGAATTCCAGATATGGATTTGTTGTGAAAGATATGATAGCCTCAATTTTAAGTAAGCCGTACTGCATTTTACCCTTTATTTGCCAAACTTAACAGATCACAGTTTAATGAAATAAATGTGTCAAAAAGTTCAGTATATAGGTTGAGTATAACTATTAATAGGTAAGTCAAGCAATGTGACTGAACTTCTTATTTTGGAATATGAACTCCACCCACACCTTACTTTACTAATTAAAGAAAGTTACCAGATTCCCGTCGTCCTTTGCTGCTTCCTTACATTAATGCATAATCTATACATGCCCATTTTTTAAACTACTTCTTAAAAATAAACTATTTTAGAATGATCTTAGACTTACAGAAAAATTGATGCTACAGAGAGTCTCTGTACCCTTTACTCAGTTTCCCCTAATGTTAACATCTTACATAACTGGTATATTTGTCAAAACTCAGAAACCAACGTTTGTACATTTATAATTAACTCTAGACACCTAGTTTTCCACTAATACCCAGCGCTGGAAACCACATTGAACACGGTTAACTGATTTTTAATAATTCCCTGTCTTCAAGTATCTATTGTGGTTTCCTGTTAGATTGAGTAAAAAAGCAAGACTTGTAAAGATAGTACCACTTAATAGCTCACCTCCCTTTGCTTCCTGTTCTTTGTTTTCTTCCTTTTCACCAGTGTGAATCTATTACAGAGCAAAGAAAAGAGTTGTGGAACTTTCTCAGTCACCTTTTCTTACCTTTACTCTTAAAACCAGTACATTTGTTGTAAAATCTGAACATTGTTAACTCACGAACATCATTGAAAATATATAAAGATATATAGCTTAAGTGTTTTCTCAGGTCATTTGCCCTTTTTCATGTGGATTTGTAACATTTTCCTTCTTTATTTTAGGCAGTGAACTTCTGGAATTCAAAGTTTGTCTCCATATCTTAGCTTGAATTAGGCGTTGCAGTGTAGGATATACTCATGAAAGATAATGATCATGATTGGTTACTAGTATTTTATACTTAAAAAAAAGTCAGTGTTAGTCATATTTATTTTACCAACTGTGGAGATAGCCCTCGCCCCCCTTTGTAAAATCAAACTATCTAAATTATGGTTATTTTCCATTTTTTATTTTTAGGATTATCAGAACAAAGGAACTAATTTTCTTATTAAGTTGAAGGAGTAAAACGAAGTATACTATAGTACTATTAAATCTAGTGAGAAAATAAGGTTAGGGTTGTAGTTGAGAGAGTTATGAAACATACTTTTGTTGTATATGGTTCTGAAAACAATTTTCTATTTTAATTATAATGACAGATTTTTAATTATAATATTTCTTAAATAGAGAAGGAAAATGAGATGGCTTTGGAATACCTCAAATCATTTTGGAATAATCAAATGCAACCATTTAGCAATGTGTTTCATTCCTGTCAGTTTAACTAATCAGTTCTGTTTTATATGCTTCTCTCTTAAAATCTAAAGTTGTGGTAGTATTTTAAGATGATGCTTGTGCTAGCAGCAGGTACCAGTTATTTTGCAACCAAAGGTGCTCTAATGCCCAAGTAATTAGAACTTGGAGGAGTAGATTGGAGATAGGAGAGGTTCTGTTAGAAAATACTTAGCCCTGTTTCAACTAACTGTAATTTTGGTAGTTTTGGGTGAGATTTAATTGGAAAATTAAATTGGGTAGATGATCCTGGAGAGTTAGTAATGCAATTGAGCAACTGATGGGAGTTTTATAGCTAGTAAGCAGTGTTACGGCCCTTAAGAACTTGAGAGTATGCCTCAAGATAACAGGTACAGGTTTTGAGTTATATACCATTTCCGTGTTCTACCTGAAATGCCACGTCTTTCTTAAAAGGACTCCCAAAGTTCTGTGACATCCTAGTTAAGAACTGATGATCTAGGTCAGTTGAATAGTCTTTTATCTGTTTATATAAATCTTATTTTATCCGGGTAACCCTCATTAAAGAAAATAAATATAATGGCCTAAGCAACAGAAATAAGGTAGTAGGAAGTAGTAAGGTCTAGGGGAGTGTGATTTAGAATCAAATTATGTCCTACTCAAATTATATCCCCTTCTCAACTCTCAGCTGAGAATTACTGCCTCTAAATGAGTAACTTAACCAATGGAGTGTAGTGAAATTTCTCAGATGGATTGGAATTTTAAAGAGAAGATCAAGTACTACACAAATGCTTATTCACTTTTGTATACCCAGTGTGTTGTTACCTGATGAATTTTGTGATAATTTTTTAAAAACAGATTTCATTTTTCATTTGGTATTATTTACTGTGCATCCTTTCCCCCATTCAAGCATTTTTTTAAAAAAGTATTTAATTTGGGTTGATCACATACATGTATTTTTTTTTCTCCTTTATGTTTTAGGGTAAATATATTTAAACACCTATGCATATACAGTAACGTGAAATCCTTATTCAGTTGGTTGATTTTGTTGCATTGGCAGAGTGAAGATAGTCCAAGTCCCAAGAGACAGCGCCTCTCTCATTCAGTCTTTGATTATACATCAGCATCACCAGCTCCCTCACCACCAATGCGACCATGGGAGATGACATCAAATAGGCAGCCCCCTTCAGTTCGACCAAGCCAACATCACTTCTCAGGGGAACGATGCAACACACCTGCACGCAACAGAAGAAGGTTAGTTGATTACAAGTTAAATTTCCTTCCATTGATAGGCTTGTGAGTTTTTTTAGCATCAGAATGCATTTTTCTGTAGGTGTTTTATATACACATCAACTCATGTATATGTACAGTCATACAAAGAAAAAATAATGTTACAAATTGTTTACGACTCTCACACTAGATCATAAAAATTCATTTAGCTTGTAATTGACAGGTGAAGAAATTGGAAGAGGCTAAAGTGATTTACCCAAAGTCAATCCATGCCATTATATAGAAATTCAGCTACATTATAGTTCAAGACTTTTCATGAGCTAGCCTGCAATCCTGATTACTGGAAAATGCATTCTATAGTTCACAACTCTAAGGAAATATGAGATCCTAGAAATGAGCTACCTCTTCTCTACTCCATTGTTATTCCTTCTGCATCCTCTAAGGCAGTTGAGAGCTTGCTTAGGTTTCCTGCAAAACTGGAGCCTGAGGTATGAAAAAATGACTGAGGTTTAGTTCAACCTTTAGCCTTCTTTTCCTTGGGACTTGGCCCTTGTCTTTCCTTCCCTGAAGGAGTACATTTCTTCCTGAGTTTCCTGCTCTATAGTCATTGCCTGAGGTTGTACATTTCTTATTGCTGGGAAGGAGTGCATCCTTAGAATGAGACAACTTTGCATATCTGAAATGTCGGTAGTCTAAGGAAAATTTACAGTCTTTTCGTTTTAGAGTTAGGAAGGAATCATAAAACTGCCATTCTTTGTTCCAAATGAGGCAAATAAACCTGTTTCTGAACTATATTCTGTTGAGACACTAAGACTTTTATACACCCTGATTCTTATTTCTCAGTTACATGGGACTATTTAAGTAAAATAATGTGTATCTGCCAAGTAAGATATTTTATAGCTGTTAAATATAATAAGCATAAGGAAATACGGCTGTTTGGTTCAAGGTTACAGCCTAAGCACTTGCTGTAGTCTTTCTGTTGTTTATGGTGAAATGTGTCATATATTCAGAGGAACATGTAAAACAAACATACAGTTAAAATAACAGCAAACGCGTGTACCCAACACCTAGGTAAAGATAGAACATCGTTACTACCTCAGAAGTCCCCCTGGTGCTCCTGCCTGATTGTCATTTTCCTTCCTCCTTCCTAGAGGGTAAACACTGTTCTATGATTTGTTATCATTACCTTGTTCATTATAATTTTAATACCTATAGATGTATTCTTAATATATTTTTTATTTTTGTGTTATTGTCATTAAAATGTATTCTTTGACTTTTTATTTTGTTTTTAATGTGTTTTCAGTGATACATAAAATAGTCCTTTAAAAATATTTATAAATAAATAGATAAGGAAATACAGATGTGTGCATATATGTGAATTAGTATACACAGATAATCTCCTTGCTGTTGGTTTAGGGGAAACCCTGGTGGCTTAGTGGTTAAGAGCTTCGGCTGCTAACCAAAAGGGTTCGAATGCACCAGGTGCTCCTTGGAAACTCTGTGGGGCAGTTCTACTCTGTCCTGTAGGGTTGCTATGAGTTGAAATCCACTCGACAGCAGTGGGTTTTGGTTTTTTGTTTAGAGAGCCTAGAAGCAGCGACACCTTAATAGCAATGAGCACACTTAGCACTCAGATCTTTGTTTCTAAATACCATTCTGCAATAAAAGGAACCAGGGCTTTTTGGAGAACTGCTTGATTCCTGGGCTCTCGAGCAGGGAATATAACAAGATGAGCCTGGAGCATACGGTGCCAGGTATTAAAGAAGTGCTGAAAAGGATGAAGACATACTGAAATGCAGAGAAGCCAAACTGAAGGAGCCAAAGTTGGAATAATTTTAACAAGATAAAATGCTAGTATGGATTATAACCCAAAGGATAAAACAAATATCCTTGTGTCCTTAATGATTATAAGTAACTGATTAAATAAATGGGGGTGAGGGAAGAGAAGGTGGCAGTTGATCTTTACAGAAGAATTTCAATTAATAAATGTGGAAGAAATAGAAAATCACTATTAGAACATTACAGTAGTGATTGCTGCAGATCCACCCATGGATGCTAAAATTAGTGGGTAAAACTTTAAACAGAAGGAGGATGTTTGCATGGTTTCAAAGTATCTCCTCCCAAATATTTGATAATTACAAAGGGAAGAATGGTGGCTTTGTAGTGGAGGGTCCTGGCAGATACCACCTTAAGCAAGTGATCAGTGTTAATATCACCAGTGATGCATATCAACATTATGTGCCGTTCAATAATTGTCACAGTCAAGTAGGCTAGAAGTCCAAATTCAGGATGTCAGCTCCAGGGAAGTCTTTCTCTCTCTGTCAGCTCTGGAGGAAGGTCCTTGTCATCAATCTTCCCTTGGACTAGGAGTTTCTCCACACGAGAACCCCGGGTCCGAAGGATGCGCTCTGCTCCCAGTGTTCTTTCTTGGTTGCATGAGGTCCCCATATCTCTCTGCTCGCTTCTGTCTTTTATATCTCAAAAGAGATTGGCTTAAGACACTATCTAATCTTGTAGATTTCATCAGTATAACTGCCACTAATCCATCTTATTGCATCATAGTGATAGGATTTACAACACATAGGGAAATCACATCAGATGACAGAATGGTAGCCAGTCATACAGTACTGGGAATCGTGACCTAGCCAAGTTGACAGATATTTTTGGGGGACACAATTCAATCTGTGACAATGATACACTGAGACTGGCGCATCACCTTTGTGTGTTATCCTTTCTAGTAATGCATAACCTGAATCAGATCATGAGAAAACATCAGACACATCCAGGTTGAGGAACATTCAGCAGAATGAATGACTAGTATCTTCAGAGGTGTCAACGTTATGAATGACAAGACTGAGGAACTGTCACAGATTGGAGAAGATTAAGGAAACATGACAACTAGCTGCAGTGTAGGATTCCGGGTTGCATCCTGAAACAGAGACAGAGGACACTGGTGGAAAAACTGGTGAAGTCCAAAGAAATTCTGTAGTTTAGTTAATAATATTATATATCAAGGTTATTTCTTAATTTTGATCATGGTTCTATGGTTATGGAAGATACTAATGTGAGGGGAAGCTAGGTGACATGTATATAGAAACTGTGTACTAAAATTATCTTGAAATGAAAAGTTAAAAAACAAAAGATAAGATCCTAAGGTAGATGGCATTTTAAATTCAGTGAAATACAATATGTAGATTTTGAAAGGAAAATGAAAAAAGAAACATTAAAAATAAAGATTTAGGAAGCAGTTAATGGAGCAAGAACCTGGAGGAACCAGTATCAAGAATACTATTGAAGATAAGTGGTATCTTGGGTGAAGGGTGAGACAGTACACAATACAGGGGAAACCAGCACAACTTGTACAAGGAAAGGTCATGGAAGCTCCGTAGACACATCCAAACTCCCTGAGGGACTGAATTGCTGGGTGGAAGGCTGTGGGGACCATGGTCTCGGGGAACATCTAGCT